GAAAGTTTGTTTCAAATCAGAATGAATGCAGGCAAATAGAAAGAAATGCATGAAAATGTTTCAATTTGATACTGTTTCTTCCACTCTTTTTTTCACTTTTACTAGGGAGTAACAGGCTCCTTAGTCCATTTACATGTACTATATGACCCTTGTGGATCTCCCTTTAAAGGTTAGTCCAGAGCATTGTAATGCATTTTTATACAAATTTTCACATAAAATGTTTGTATTCTTTCTTTTGAACAATTTAATATAGTAATTTCTGTAATCCCCCAAGGAACCTGGGGAATAGTAAAAGCTGGCAAATCTGATCTCTTCCTCAACTCTAACAACTTTCTGAAGAAATCATCTACAACAGAATTCAACCTTTCTTTCAGGGTGTACAGTTGGTGAATGGATGTTCTTTTGCTTAAAGAGGAGGACCAGGAACTTCTCTATCCCTAGTTCTTTTAGGGTCTTACGTGACCTTAAAGTGATTTATTAAATCTCCCAATTCCTCTTAAAATGGGAACAATCATATTTAGGTGCTTTTCTTGTGTGGTTTATGCCAAGAACTCTGGTGTTCTGCAGTTATTTAGGCTGAAGGATGTCTATCATAGCAAATATTTTTATATCTTTCCACAATCCACTCAACTACCTGAATTCTGCTGCCAAAATAATATATTCTTTTTTCTTTTATGTGTGCCACTCAAGCAGAGCTCCTGTCTTTCAAAGAATCCCATACCCTCTATTCAGCAGCAGCAGGAAGCTTCAGGCAGACCACCATGCGCTGGTTAGAGGCAGATGTGGCAAGAGCACGAATGCAAAACTTGCCAACATCGATCCATAATGAATGCCTTTCATCAAAATAAAAACATGGAGTGAATGTGTTTTAGCTTTGGTCTATGACACAATTTCAAATGTTTTTTGTATAAATTATAGGGGAAAACACCAAACTTGTTCACCAGTGTGTGCTCCTACAGAAAATGAATAAAGGCGATGGTTTTTTACAGAATAACCACTTTATCTGTGACCTCTTAAGTCTTGATCCTGAGCTTAAGAACTTAACACTCATAATTACTGGATACTAAACATTGTAGACTCAGTAAAGAGATTGGTTTTATGACAAATTATGATTTCCATACTTCTCCCACAACCAATAATTATGTCTCTGTGTCCCCTTGGGGTTAATTCTGTCATCACCTTTCTTCTTGCCAACACTTCTTTTCTGTTCCACAAGTACCAGCGTCTGTATCTCCCAAATTAATCTAACTGAATAAAAAGCTAAACTTGGAGCTATTTATTTTTTTCAGTCCATGTTTAGTTTTGAAGATTTTTATCAACATCAGTCTTGAAGAGACTGCATACCTAAAATTTGTCTGATTTTTTCAACTAATGAAGCGCTGCCTCTCCCTGTGAATCTTGACTCATCACATATATAAATACAAATCATGTAGTTGTTATTTCTCATCAGACGGGAAAAAATCAATGGTCTAAAACTAAAAGAACAAAAAATACATAAATAATAGCACTTGGTGGTGTTTTGATGAGCATAAAGCAAGGACAATGTCAACTTCACTGTAATTAAATTAGCAGCAAGACAATTATCTAAGCAGCTGTGATGATGAGAAGTGCAGCAGATCTTGTTTTCTACTGCTGCCTTAACTGGTGTCTCCAGACAGCGGATGTCCTGTGGATAACAATCACCTTTCCTGTTTCTTCATACTGATATACTGGGAATTTGCAATCTTCCTGTAGTAATGGCTCCCATCAGAGTTTGCATATGCCAAGCTGACACATAAAGGAGATAACATCTATCTTCACATCAGCCTAGTCCTCTGAATAAACAGAACTGCACCAATAAATCAATCCAGAATGATCCTCCGCTCCCCAGCTGAGCACATGGGGGGCTTTTCTGTTGTGATGTTGGGAGACATCACCCAGCAAGAGGCAAAGGGAATTGCAGCACCCGCACTGCGTGTTCTGGAGAAGAGAAAGAAAACCTAAGGAGAGTGCACAATGAAAGCAGGAGTTCACCAGCGGGTGGAATGCTCCAGGCTGTCAAATGGTGATTCGTGTGGATTTAAATAATCGCAAAATTTAAAAAGAAATTATTGCTTAACATCACCACGCGGTGGCACCCAAACCGTTACAGATGGTAGCACTGGGCAGGGTCAGGAGGTGCGCTCAGCCTGGGTTCAGGTTCAGCTGCTGAGTCTCCAGAGGTACCGCAGTGACACCTCAGCTTCAGGGTGTGTTAGTTTCCTAGCTCAGCTTCAAGATCAGAAAAAATATTAAGTACATCTTGCTTCACTGAAAATGTTTAAAAACCACTCCTCACCTCACTATGTGTAACAAAGGAATTAACTTAAATCTAATTTTATTGTACCCGTCATCTCATTATCTTTCTTCTCCCACAGTCTCCTCTTCCCTCTTCTTGCAGCAAGCCTAGAATTTGGCCTGGTGGGGTAGGGGTGTACATGGACAGCCTAAAATTTTGCCAAGTTCAAACATGATACCAGCCATTAAGTCAATAGGAGCCATTCAGTAACACAGCAGAGATTGACGGGGAGCTTTGGGAAAAATATTCTTTCACCAAAATCACAGGCAAAACTGCTTTTACATCAAGGAAGCTGCATCAGCCTTAGAGTAAATGCAAAAGTCATCTACATAACTCATGCCATTCCTACAGATAAATGCATTTTCATGTGGTGAAACGTGACTGGACTGATGGAAAACTGAACATCCTTTGGAAAGACATTCCTGAGGCCATGTCCTCCTGGACGTAAGGCAACCGTAAAAGACTCTTTAGCAGACAGCGTCCATCAGTGTAAATTACCAGCAACATACACTGCAGATTGCATGAGCCAGAAACAAATTTTGAGAGCAGCAAAGGACTGTCCTCGAGTAATTTTCTCCACTTTCCCCACACTACTTGAGACAGTCTTAGAGGACCATTCCTTGGCAGGAGACGTGAGTCTGTGGTCTCTGGACTGGTTAGTTGGCCTTGCAATATTGATACCCCTCTCTTCCTGACAAACCCTAATTCAGTCACTTCAGAGCTGATCTATTTTAATGTAGTACAAGTGTCCTACATCCTCTGCCATTAGGCTGTTTTATTTGTCATTTGTTTATACTGTTTAATTATTTATGCTATTGAATGTATTCTGCTTAGAGATGTATTTTAATAGAAGCACAGCGCTTGTACCTTTCTCTAACCGTGAAAATTGATCCACAAGACAGGAAGATGACT